TGAGGGTCACTGGTTTACGGCGTCAACGTTTCTGTAGTTTTACTTATTAAATCCATTATATTTAGTGGTCTAGTGACAAATTACTTAATATTTTTGTGTTAGGTTTTGGTTGAAATGAAAATGTCAGTGCCACGAGCGGGATTCGAACCCACGACCTTCGGCTCAACACGCCGCGGCTCCAACCATTTGAGCTATCGTGACTTCGATCCTCTCGGACACCAACTATCCATCTCAACCTATATTCCTTATTTCGAATCCCGCTCGTGGGACTGACTTTTCTCATTTCAACCAAAACCTTACATAAAAATATTAACCAATTGAAAGAAGTAATTTGGTCAATAGACCACTGAATATAATGGGTTTCTGTAGTAGTTAAAACGTAAATCGTGGCAGGGATCGAGGCATTCGTCAAACGCCACAAAAATGGACATTTGTGACATTGGGCTGTACCCGTACCCGAAATTCGGTTTTAATATTCCCATCAGAAATCTGATTAGCATTTGTTGATCTGGCCAAATGGCTTCCGGCACGCGGTCGGCTGTTTACCATTGCCGGGCTTTAAATATAGGACCCGATCCGCCGTACAACTGGGTCAAGGACTGGATTAATCTGAAGAAAAGAAGCGAAGAATGCTTGCGTTGTCCCAAAGCGTGAATATTACCGTTTTGAAGTGGAATTTTCAATGCATTGCAATTAATATTAACTACAACTGGGATTTATCCTGAAGTCACTGCTTAGTTGTACACTTGCTTTACCACATGCGAATAGTCGGTTGAACACAAATAAACCAATTTTCTACTTCTTTCGTAATGTTGAAAAACCTGTTCGACAGCAGTAAGCCAAAATGGATGTGCTAAAAGTAAGCTGATCTATAAATTCCTAGTTCCTTTTTTACGCCATGGTTGAAGAATGGAAATAGATTAAACCGAGAGATGCTTGGATATAAAAAGTTTAAAAAAACGCAGCTTAAAAATTACACAGTATACATATTGTTTTAATTAAAATTCAAAATTTTCAATTTTTTCCCTTAACCCATTTGTCTCATTGTATTACTGGCACTACTTAGCATCAAGGGTGCCTATAGCATCAACTTAAGTATCTTTTGTACTTGGAAATTTTTACCGATTATATATCTTCTTTTTCTGTACTACGTATCAATCTAATAAATCTGGTGAAAAAAATATGCACCCTCACGATTCTCCTCGGTATGCCTTATTATTCAACATTTTTATTTTTATTTTTTTTACACTATATTCTGAACCAGTCGTTAAAAACAGGTATTTTCCCCAATGCTTGGAAAAGCACTTTTGTCATTCCTCTACATAAAGCTGGCGATAGATCTAATGTTTTCAATTACAGACCAATATCTATTCAATCCATGTTCTCCAAGATATTTGATTCTATTNTTAAACAGGATTTATCTCAAGGGTGCCTACAGCATCAACTTGAGCTTCTTTTGTACTTGGAAATTTTTACCGATTATATATCTTCTTTTTCTGTACTACGTATCAATCTAATAAATCTGGTGAAAAAATATGCACACTTTTCACTCGCGATTGTTGCTGGAGTTCTCCTCGGTGTGCCTTAATTATTCAGCATACACATCAGATATTCCGAACATCCCGAGTATTCATGCAAAAAATAGACCATCAAGACCAAAAGCATAAAAATTACTTTTACTTATGTCATGGTATTCAGTCTCCCATTATCTTCCATGTTATTTAACTACTCCAAAAAAGCTGACTATCTGGTGGTAATATCGATTACGACTACAGACATCTGCACTAACGGTCAAAATTAACTTTACTCCAGACAATTTTCCAACTTTTTAAACAGGATTTATCTCAAGGGTGCCTACAGCATCAACTTGAGCTTCTTTTGTACTTGGAAATTTTTACCGATTATATATCTTCTTTTTCTGTACTACGTATCAATCTAATAAATCTGGTGAAAAAATATGCACACTTTTCACTCGCGATTGTTGCTGGAGTTCTCCTCGGTGTGCCTTAATTATTCAGCATACACATCAGATATTCCGAACATCCCGACTATCTATTCATGCAAAAAATAAACTTTCACCAAGACCAAAAGCATAAAAATTACTTTTACTTATGTCATGGTATTCAGTCTCCCATTATCTTCCATGTTATTTAACTACTCCAAAAAAGCTGACTATCTGGTGGTAATATCGAATACGTCTTCAGACTTCTTCACGAAGGGTCCAAATTCGCTTTACTCGACACAACTTTACAACTTTTTCTTAAAAATCAAGTGATGATCTCGTAAGCTCTGGGGTTCAGCCAAAATTTCTAATTTAAAAAGAATACAATCTGTCAAATCCAAATTTCCCCAAATTACTTTACTCGAGGATTCGGTCATCTCGTATGTTTCATTTATAACCAAATAAAAATACTCCACATTTCATAAATCTTTCAAATTACTAACTCCATAATTGAAAGAATATCTCGACAACCCCTGGATAAGTTTGATGTGTCGGTAAGAAAAGTTTTTTGGGCAATGTCATCAGTTGGACGTTCCATATGTCAAGGGATGTAACATCTTCTTTTGGAAACTTGGGGGTTTACAGAGATCCCTCCATTGTTACAAGATCATTATAAGATAATTTACATGTTTTGTAGGAATTTTAGTTAAAACATGAACTAAAAGCAGAACGAATTCGAACAAAACTTTCTTGTTCGCTTTGCGTTTTACATTATGCGACAACGACTAGCTTAACTTTACTCGACACAACTTTACAACTTTTTCTTAAAAATCATGAGATGATCTCGTAATTTCTGGGGTTCAGCCAAAATTTCTAATTTAAAAAGAATACAATCTGTCCAATCCAAATTTCCCCAAATTACTTTACTCGAGGATTCGGTCATCTCGTACGTTTCATTTACAACCAAATAAAAATACTCCACATTTCATAAATCTTTCAAATTACTAACTCCATAATTGAAAGAATATCTCGACAACCCCCGGAGAAGTTTGATGTGTCGGTAAGAAAAGTTTTTTGGGCAATGTCATCAGTTGGACGTTCCATATGTCAAGGGAAGTAACATCTCCTTCTTTTGGGAACTTGGGGGTTCACAGAGATCCCTCCATTGTTACAAGATCATTGTAAGATAATTTACATGTTTTGTAGGAATTTTAGTTAAAACATAAACTAAAAGAAGAACGAATTCGAACAAAACTTTCTTGTTCCCTTGGAGTTTTATATTATGCGACAACGACTAGCTTAACTTTACTCGACACAACTTTACAACTTTTTCTTAAAAATCATGAGATGATCTCGTAAGCTCTGGGGTTCAGCCAAAATTTCTAATTTAAAAAGAATACAATCTGTCCAATCCAAAGTTCCCAAAATTACTTTAGTTAATGTTGGACCGTCTATGAATCTTAACAAAGAAATTTAGGTGATTTCTTGTTAAACATTTCGTCTGTGGGTGCAAGGATTACGTTAAAAACACGTTGTTACTCAACCAGTCTCTAGTTGCGTCGATAAAAATTTGGAAGGAGTGACAGCAGTCCTGGCATCGGCACCTGAAGGTTTCGACGTCAGACAAAAGGGACCGGTTATATAACGAGACCGTATTTAAGAGAAAGATTGGAAAACACTCGACGAGATCGATTAGTCTAGCACGTTCGAATGTAGAAATCAAGGAAGTGAAAGATGGTTTACATCTCGGCCCGCTATTTATACGTGAATGGAGTAGAGATTGAGCTGGTTTGAGGCGATGGCCCGTGAAATTCCCCTCCGCGGCGCACTGGGCTGTACGCCAAAAACGGTTAATTACCAGCACCTCGCGAGTACTATCCTGATGGATTGAGAACCGGCGAAACGCGGACCAGCCCGGTCTATAAATTCGCAATTGACTGCATCACCGAGCAAAACTCTAAACTGTCTAAACATGAACAGCAAGAAATGGATAAAATTGAACCCGAACAAAGCGTTCGTCCGTGCATCTTGACGGATTGACTGATGCCAGTTTCTAACATCGGACTTAGAAATTTTCTAATTCTGTACCCTCGAACGGCAGGAGCTTGACAAGAAATGCGATGCCAGTCAAAGAGGCTTTTGTAAACAAGCCAAACTGCGCGATCAGTCATGGAGCTTGTTTGTTTCTTACTAAAAAGCATCAGTTTTACATTAAATCTACTATTAATAGACGACCTCTATTTTCCAACGTCAATAGAGCAATTGTTTCCTGAGCTAGAAATGATGAGATTGCTCCGATATCAAAATGCAATTTTGGACAGTCGTGAAAATCGCTGGCTCCATCGATGAGTATGCAAGTTCATATTCAACTATTTCTGAACTAAAAAAATATGCTTCCTGCTGCAAGCTACTTAAATGCGGATTATTTGACTATTATATGATTTATGATTTTGATTCATTCCTCTACATTTTGAAGACAAAACCATTTTAACCACCAACTTTTTGATAGTGCGATTGATGTGTCAGCGAATAAACCTATTCTGTACTAGGTGATGATCAGACTGATGCTCTCGGGGTCCCACATGCAGTATTGGTATCTGAGAACTACTGTACATTGAGAACCTGGGAACATAAGTCTTTGGGTTGCTGTAACATTTCCAATAGATTAAGGCTTTGTTTGTGATAAAAAAGTCACTGTCACGAGCGGGATTCGAACCCACGACCTTCGGCTAAACACGCTGCCGCTCTACCACTTGAGCTATCGTGACTTCGAACCACTCGGACACTAACTTCCCATCTCAACCCCTACTTTTAAGATGGGAAGTTTGTGTCCGAGATTGAAGTCACGATAGCTCAAGTGATAGAGCAGCAGCGTATTGAGCCGAAGGTCGTGGGTTCGAATCCCGCTCGTCACACTGACTTTTTTCTCAACCAAAACCCTAATTATTTGAAAAGAATTTATTTGGTCAATCGGACCACGAAACCTAATAGATTTGCAGTAGGTTTTCACATTCTGATTATTTTGTTTATAATTTCTTTTCCATTTGTTCTGTTCCAGTGGTGTTGGTGGGGGCGCGGAACCTGAGATTTGCGTGATCGACGTCCACCCGTCCCCGACTCTTATCTAAGGAGTTTCGGAGAGAGAAAAAAAAGACGTTCTGACACCCCCGGGGGGGGGCAGGAAAAACGCCACTTTTCCACTTTTCTACATGGAAGAAAGGACGAAATTTGATGAAGTGTTCATCGATACGCAACTGTGCGAATGATAGCATTTTTAAAATGTGACTATATGATCAAGTTGATTGGAGACTGTCGAAACATGTGCAATCCATAAAAAAAAAGAATTAAGTTCAAATTTGTACTAAAAATATAAGAAAATAAGCATTTAATTTTTTATACTTCGTGCAATATGCAAAGGGAAAAGATGTATAGAAAAGAATGTTTACCTGGCATAATTTAAATCATCATTTGATCTGCCACAAAAAAAAATCCTATTTTATACTCTTTTACTGTGTTAATTTTGTGTGTGTATATATGACAAATTTTACCGACAAAAACGTTAAAAATCAATGAACATTCATTTGAGTAAAACTACGACGTTTTTCTAATTATTATCGATATTAGTGCAATTTTTATAATTTAAAATGATTTAAACTAAATTTTTGCTGAAGTTTTGTAAATAATAAACTTTTTTTTTAAAGAAGTGATGATATTACGGCGGCAGAAATAGTGTGTATGTGTGCGTGCGTTCTCGCTTGTACTTTTGGAATTTATGAACGTCGTCGAATACAAACAATATAACGTTTGTTATGCTTTATAGACCAAATTTGTACAGGTTTAAGTAACTGGTAGTATTTATCTAGTAATCTAAGTCTTAATATGTCAATAAAATTTCTTTTTTACTTTTTGGTTTTCTTTTCTATGAATGACTAGTATAGAATTGCTATTTCAAACAGCAACTTACCAGACCATTAATTTGGCTTTCGAACCCATCATTCACTACTCATCAGCTACACAGAGTTACAGATTTCATAACTTCATGTCTCGAGCGACTGTAGTCGTTTCTAGATGTTTCTCAGGCCTTCGACAAACTATGGTATGAGGGATTATACAAATTAAAATTATTTTTACCCCAGGCCTATTATCTGATGACACAGTCATACCTTAAACAGAGATTTTGCAGGAAACCAGGGAACGGAGACTTCTGTGGTGAAAGAAGTGCTTGCTGGTGTGCCGCAAGGGTCAAACTCGCTCCACTGTTGTTCTCATTTTACTTCTGATATGCCCACAAATGAGAACCACATAGGTCATCGCCATATTAACAAATCTCTTTTCTACTCAAGCTTCTTTTGTGTTACCAACCACATATCAACAATTCAAAAATGGAGCAATCTTGGGAAAATTAAGTTTAACCCCTAAAAGTCACAACGTATCACGTTCATACTCCATTTTGAAACTTGTCCTAGCATATACTTATAAAATGAATGTATTTCTCAATCCGACAAAGTTAGCTATTTAGGACTTACATTTCATAGAAGACTAACTTAGAATACACACACACAAACACACACACACACACACACACGATTAAAAAAATAGACACTCAACAAACGATTTGAATTGTTTTATTACCTACTCAACCGGCATCAAAATTACTATTAAAATCATAACTTTCGACATACACATGCCTACTGAAATCTATTTGGATCTGCCAAGTATTCCAATATTCAAAGATGACAAAGTTTCAATTCAAAATTTTAAGAACAATTGTTTTTGTCCTTTTTTGCGTAAACAATAACAGGAGAGGGAGTGATCGGTTTTTCCACGATCGCGTACAAAACCACGTTTTTTGCAAAAAAATGGCGAATAACTCCAAAAGGAGCGTCGGTGGCCGCAACGGTTTAGGCGTTGACACGGCGCTCATTACTGTAAGATAAAGGTTCCGGGTTCAAATCCAGCGGCCCTGAATCCAACATACTTACAAAAATACGGTTTTTTTTCAAAAACACCGTCAATTTTGGAGTGTTCTAAAATTGATACTCGTTCTTCTCAGAAAAACATCTAATTACGGAAAAAAATTTAAAATTTGGGGTTTGCAATTGAAACAAAAAGGTGAGGCCAGCGTTGACGATACTTGATACGTTTAATATTGGGTTGTCCGGAAAATAATGCAGGATTTTGGTATTAAACAAAAAAAAAGAAACTAGTTACTTTAAAGCAATGTTCTTTAATGTCAATTTTTTCCACGTTTGCCAATTTTCGTCTCCNCATACAAATGAGTAATCCTGTAAACGTAAACAGAATATTTTATATAGATTTTTTTTAATGAAAACTTAAAATCCTGCATTATTTTCCGGACAACCCAATAATTGAGTCTTTGTTTAAAAATGTAAAAAAAGTAAATTGCCAAGGAAAATGAAAAAAAGATGGATAGATAAAATTTGTTCGGCATACTTTCTACCAGTCTGGAAATGTCTCTTTGATGAAGGTTAGGCCATTCTTCACGAAGAGTCCTTTCAAGATCGTGGAGGGTATCAGGAAGTGATGGACGTGCTCATTATTCGTCTTTTAAGGTTATCCCATAAATGTTCGATGGGGTTAAAGTCTGGAGAAAGGGCTGGCCAGGCTAAGACCCTGATGCTTCGCTGGTTTGTACGTTTGTACTATGCGAGCAACATATGGACGGGTATTATAGAGTAGGATTGTAGCTGATTTCATCAAGGATAGGCAACGCATGACGTCCCAAAATTTCATCCACTTGGCGAGTGGCCGTCAAAGACCCTCCACGAACAACAACCCACTCTGGGCGACTCTCCATTGAAATCCCCGCCCACACCATCACTGAGCTACGTTAAAAAGGTTTCTCCATACTCTTTCACGCCATCTGGAGGTCGTAGAGCAAATCTACACTCATCTGTTTACAGCAGAGGAATCGTCCAAAAACCAATGACTGTGTTCTCGAGCAAATGTGAGCAGTGCAACTCTGTACGTTCTGGTCAATTCTGGTCCTTTTACGGGGCGAAAAGCCATCAGTCCAAACTGATTTAATCTTCTTCGAGCAGTGCGTTCAGAAATTTGGACACCTCGAACTTCCTGGAGCTGTTGAATCGCTTGAAAAACACTAAGGTGTCGTTTTTCTCAGAGTCCAAAAACAGTCATCCTGCAGTTCTGTTAGGGAGTCCAGAACCGAGCCTTCTATGGTAGGACCCAGTTGCTAGAAAACGTTTAGCAGTTTCGTATGGAACTCCGATGACAATAGCCACAACCTGATGGAACGTCCATCATCGATAAGTGCCACACCACGCGCTGTTCCTCTAGTCCTCAGCACTAAGTGGTATTTTTAAGTTTAAAAATTAAAATTAAGAAAACAAAGATGACAACTGAACAGTTTATTGCCCACTTAACTAAACAACTAAAACCAAACTGTTTGGCCTTAATCAACCTCTCAGTTCGGCTAATAGCCTGGTAAGAAAAATATTCTATCCCAGAATAACAAAGAGGCTTAAGAGAGGTTGTGTAAATAATTTCATTCTACAGACATTAGACAATATACATTATCAAAAAGAAAAGGGTTTTATATATTTGCATTTTTGTGGACGTCCTTAAAGCGTGTACTTACCTCGCTAACAGCTACCCGTGGCCACTTCATAAGCCACCGAGAATCGAACCCTGATTAAACGACATGAAAATATGGCAAAAAGAGGGGAAAAGTTCAAAGGTTGTAGGTTGATATAAGAAGTCACGATAGCTCAAGTGATATTGAGCGGCGGTCGTGGGTTCGAATCCCGCTCGTGAAACTTACTTTTTCATCTCAATCAAGACCTTACATTAAAAGTATAATTAATTGAGTTAAAAGTATGTATTATTTTTATTATAATTAACTTGTCTTAATATGTTTATACTTCTTTATACTTATCTGTATATTCACTATGTACAAATTAAAACACTAAAAACTAAAAATAAAAATAGGTTTTATTATTTTTTTATATTGTATCTTATACATTTGTACAAGACTGTGAAACATCGTGGTGGGTCTTACAATTTGGCAGATGGACCTGTAGCTCGGTCGTATTCGATTAGAGATATACGGGCGCAACAGAGAAATAAAAAACAAATCACAAACATGTTTACTCAATAAAAGCACTACATAACATAAAAAGAGAACAAACTGAAGAATAACCAAATAGAATAAACATCGAAAACCCAGATCCGTTTCATCAAAGACGCAGCCGGAAAGAAGATCCATTTACAATTTACGCACGAATAAGAAATAGTGCTCAAATGACAAAATAAGGCGCATGAAACACGGAAAATGAAGTTCCGAAGGACGACAATGATATTTATATACTTAGTGACTTAATGTGTTGGTACAATAAATCAAAACGCATTATTTCCACCACGTTTTAATTACATAGTTAAGAGACTTGAATCGTCGTTGGGCAAGAAATGATGTCTTCATCCATGTCGTCATAGAGCCACGGCTGAAAATTGCAGATACAACATTGTAAACAATTGAAAAATAAGAAAGAAATATTTTGCTTTAGTGTACAAACGGGCTTCCGATGGGTGCAGGTCATTAGAAGAATGTCCGTCGCTGAAGGAACGAGTTTGGCAATTCAAGCTGAAGAACTTCTTAAGTTGTCGTTTCCCCAGTGGTTCAGTTCACAATATTCGCCGAGCTGGCAGGTGTGCCCTTTTTTCGCCGGATATATCAGGTTTGTGGTTCTAAAACAAGCATACATATTCAGGTGAATGGTTTTTGGTTTCTTAATATGAAGAAGAAGTAAGAAGAAAATATATTTTGTTGTTGTTATAACTTTTAATTATGCTTCCCTTCTTTAATCTCATGCATTATTTTTTATTTATTCTATTTTTTTCTCTCCAGGTAGCTACACCAGGGCTGTTGCTAGCACGAGGACGAAAAATTGTTTTGTTCTTTTCACCTCAAAGAAGCTGACTCCTTATACAAAACTGTCTTTCTATACCGACTTTCTTCCCCACCCTTTCAAAATCCAACGTATATAAACATAAAACAGCAATATCTCACTGGCATTCTCAACAGGACACGCAAGAATGGCACAATTACGCAGAAAACAAACACTTTGAGTGATTAAAAATACTTTGATTGAATATAAATACCGACGGTTCTTTATTAAACAAGAGAGTGGGCTGTGCTTTTTATGACCCGGCTCGTAAATTTTCAAAAGAAATGTCATTACCTGAATCAGTTTCTATTTATACGACGGAAATGTATGCTCTTGCAAAAGCTCTTGAGTAAGTAGCCTCCCTAAGTTATGACAACTATTCTATCATCTCAGACAGTACGAGCTCAATAGCACAATTGGACCACTTTCAACCCAATGCTAAATGCGACTACTTGCTTTCTGAATTAATAAATGAATTTTGCAATCAAGGCCTAAAATAAGAACGTAATTTTTTGTTGGAGTAGAGGACACAGTGGCATAAAACATAATGAAATCGTGGATTTAATGGCCAGAGATGCCACAGTTGACGGGGAGTTTCATGAAATCAAGCTGCCCAAAACGGACGCTAAACGCCTGTTGTACTCAAAATGGATGGAAAAATGGCTTTTATGGTATGGTAATAGATCGGGAGGTTTGATCTATAAATCCCGGTTCTCTCTACTAAACCGTATACCTTGGTTTTCGGGCAGGAAAGGAAGTAAAAATTTCTTTGCTGCGCTAATTCGAATCAGGTCAAATCACTTAATATGTGGCTCCTACTTAAATAAGATTAATCTCAGAACATCCCCTAACTGCGCGACGTGTGATGAGCCGGAAAATATCAGTCATATTGACCTGATCTGTTTGGAATATGAGAAGGAAAGAAAGATATTTTTTGATCGGTCAATGCTCCTGAAGGAGGTTAACAAGCCATTCAGTTTGGAGAGCCTGATAGCTTCAAAACACAAAGGGACGTATAATCTACTTTATCGGTATCTGCAGGATTGCAATAAGGAGTGCTGAATTTTGAGAGAGTGTCGGGAGGAGGCTGGCCGGGGCGCGTCATTGGGGGGTGTCACGGCGTTTTGGGCGGTTTTGCCCCGGGCAGTGGGGGAGATGCGAACTTTTCCAGGAGCATCTTCTGCTTTGTAAGGTTTTTATTCACATCTTCATGATACGCCTGACAAGGGAGAAGATAAATCCCACGAATAAAGACAAAAAGGACGCAGCGACGCTAGTGAGAGGCCCCTCGACGGCTGCTCCGGTTGGCTTGCCTGGTCTGGCTGGGGGGCATGGGCTGGTTTCCGATCGGCGCATTTTAAATGCCTGTAGTATAGCTGGATACCTGACAGTGAAGAAGAAAAAAAAAATATATAAAATATTTTTTGCATTGTATAAATTCACTTTTTTCCACATCCTACGTGTATTAGTTAAATTTAAACAATGTTTGTAAATCCCAGGCCCTGAAGATGATCTCAATAAAGATTGAAACGTTGGCGCGATAAAAAAAATTTTGTTCTAAAACCTACGTCACACCAGACCAGATCTCACAATTTCCGAATAATCATCGACTAACGGTCATTAATCACCATACATTTATTTTTATTATGATAATCAAAATTTGTTGTTGATAAAAATTGATTTTATTTATTTATTGATAAACGCATTTAAAACAAAGGAAACTACAATTGTAAACATTAGAAGAAACATAATTAAGTATTTACAATTAATTAAGGTTTTTAGTTGAGATGAAAAAAAGTTAATGGCACGAGCGGGATTCGAACCCACGATCTTCGGCTGGATACGCCGCTGCTCTACCACTTGAGCTATCGTGACCTCGATCCACTCGGACATCAACTTTCTATCTCAACCCCACCTTATGAGTTAACTTTTTTTCATCTCAACTAAAAACCTTAATTAATTGTAATGTATTAGAGAAGTTAAGTATTTACTAGAAGAAAAAAAACCAACACATTTTTTCCTATGGTGCATTGAAATCTGACACCTCCATTTATCAACTAACATTTTTACCTTAAGGTGTCTCTAAAACTGATCCCCCTGTACAAAACTTACTCATAGTACTGATTTAATTGATATATATATATATATATATATGTTATACGGGTATGTTTGTAGAAGCATTTTTTTTAAATGTCTTGTAGAATTTGCATAACTAAAAGAGTCTATAGTCCATAATCTGATTTTTATTTATATTTCACTTTTCATGTTTCCCATAAAACCCCTATCTCTTAAAATAATTTCACTATGTAAATTTGATTACAGCAATGGAAAGAGCATTAAAAATCCTATAAGATTTTTTTGTATCCTTGAGGAAACAAAGTACAAATTCAGAATATAGATTTTTCACAATTCTTGCTTAAAGTTAAGTAATATTTTTGTGGCTAAGTAAATAGGTTCAAAAACCAACCCCCTCTTCCTAGTAGTGAACCCGCCTGACAGGATGGTTCATAATTGATCATCCACGTGGCCAAAAATTGGCTCCTAGCGATTTTTCTGTTGGAACTTCTGGGACTTGATTTCTACTCGTATTTTACCCCTACACACGTGATGAAAACGTTCTACCATTGATGCATTTCTAAGCATCATTATTGCTTTTATTAACCCTATTAAATCAAATCGTATACTATCCCAGTTAGAATCGCTGATTTTGTTGTTGGATTAATTGAATATTAACCTTTAAAATTTGTCTTAGAGCAAGACGAATTTTAGAAATTTCGCTAAAAGGTTAGATTTGCGCCAAATAAATTAGTGTTGCCAATGCAAGGGCAGAAACAGGAGGATCAACACTGCACTGGCCCCAATTTCCAGCGAATTTCTGCTAACCTCAAACAAAATTGTTAAAGTTGGCATTGCTCCGAAGCGATAAGGTACAGTGATGAGGTGAAGAGCCAATATGGAAATTTTACATTGGCGCAAAAAAATCCATGCTGCCAAGGGCTCCAAAAATTTTATGCTCATGGGATTAGCTAACCTTTAGCAAGTTTGCTAAATTATCATCGTTGGGCAGGAAAAGGTTAAACTACTATCACGAAGGGGGTAGCTCACTACATGAAGAATATCTGATGCAACTCATTGCCCTTCAAAGAAAAAAAAACCGATCACCTGGTTTTTGGTTTGATTATTGTATGTGAATGTGTGAATTTACTTAACTTCTATAACAGAGAGGTGGAGATAGAAAGACAGATACATAGACAGATAGACAGAGAGATAAAGATATATGTGGCTTTATACAGATTCAAAGTATCGTAGATGGAAAATAGTATGGTGTAATTTCGATTTTCAGAAGAACATCCAGTTTTATTACATTTCCATTCATTTTTTTAATATTATATAAACTGCAGTAAAAAACCGACCATTTGATTTTTGCTGGAAAAAATAGCCATTTTGAAACGCATATATTCTCAGCCTTTTAAGTCAAGAGACCTACGCTAGGTCTTATTTTTTTAGAAATTTTTATGCTGAACAAGATGGCTTTTTAAATGTCCTAACTTCAGTCATTCATCAGTAGATTCAAATATTCGGAAAGTTTAATTTTTGCATTTTTTCCGAAAACTTCAAATTGAACTGTGGAGCCAGGAAATCGTCCTATTGGTGTAATGTCGATTTTCAGAATAAGGGCATCCCCTTTTATTACATTTTCAATCATTATTTTTATATTATACGGGGTGTCCCAGTTCCCTCTGACGAAACTCAGGGAATCGATTCTACTCTTCGTTTGGAGCAAAAAATGCCCAGGAGAAAATTTTCGGAAAGTTCTCTATTTTGAAGATATTCGTCAATTTAGGTTTTTTCATCTTTTACTACCTTACCACATAAAAACGCTTACAACTTCCAAAATGTTGAGACTACAACAAATCCAATTACACCATTTGAAAGAACGCTAAATTTGCTGTAAGATACTTCTATTTGCAATAATCTGAATGACATAAAATGTTAGCCAATTGGAACATTTTATGTGGTAAGGTAGTGAAAAGTTGAAAAAACCTAAATTGACGAATATCTTCAAAATAGAGAACTTTCTGAAAATTTTCTCCTAGGCATTTTTTGCTCCAAACAAAGAGTAGAATCGATTCCCTGAGTTACGTCAGAAGGAACGGACACCCTGTATACACTGCCATTAAAAAACCGACCATTGGTTTTTGCTGGAAAAAATAGCCAACTTCGGAAATGCATATATCTTCAGCCTTTTAAGTCAGAGACCTGCAGTAGGTCTTATTTTTTAGAAATTGTCATGCTGAACAAGATGGCTTTTTAAATGTTTTTCTTACTTCAGTCATACATCAGTAGATTCAAATATTCGGAAACGTTTAATTTTTGCATTTTTTACGAAAACTTCAAAATGAGCTGTGGAGCCAGGAAATCGTCCTACAGCAGTCGATCGAAATTTTCAAAAACTTTCAATTGGTCACGTTCTACTTCCTTTTCTCAACCGTTTGCGAGTTATTCGCGATTTTTTGGTGGTTTCTCTCTTCCGATTTTTCCAGATATAAACCTACTGTTTCAGTACGTTATCCGAAGGCAAACTGCCTCAAAACCTTTGAAATGAGAAGAAAAAGTTGAACTTCCGTGATGAGATAACAAGCAGTTATTGACAGCAGAATCATTTCTCATCCCTAAAAGGTCAAAGTAAGAAAAAGTAAAAATTGTCCCTTCCTTGATCACTTTTCTGAAAAAGTCCTCGGAACAGAAGTAAAATTTGCGAAAACATGACCGTTTGAAATTTATGCATTCTTGAAAATCGGGAGAGGGATCGCGTAAAAAACCACGTTTTTTGCACAAAAATCGCGAATAACTCCAAAAGAGGCGTCGGTGGCTGCAACGGTTTAGGCGTTGACACGGCGCTCATCACTGTAAGGTAAAGGTCCCGGGTTCGAATCCAGCGGCCCTGAATTCAAACCCGACATCCTTACAATTTTTTTTTCAAAAACACCGGCACCCCGAGGGTTTACATGACCTCTGGTATTACGAACCCTCGTTAAAAAAAAGAAAAAAAACTTGACAAATCGGGCAAAATAGAAATGGAAAACTTATTAAAATTGTCTATTGATGTTTTAGGGTGCCGCTCCAACGTGGCTTTCCAATTTGAATTTTTTTTAAAGTGCAAAAATTAACATATTAGCGAATTTACTGATTTAGACAGACCCAGTAGAGTGAAAAAATGTCAATCAGTTCAACTTGCGTTTAGAACTAAGCACGTGAAGGCTTTGTCGAAGATCAATGGAAGAAAACTATGATGATAACTTACGAATTGTTATCCAAGACATTGAACTCGGAATCTTCGTTGAGTAGATCTTGCAGCATTCCGGGGAATTTGTACGCGATGCGGAAAATTTCCTTGACGATGGATATCATTTCTGCTGTTTGGTCGTCGTCGGTCAACGGACTGTCCGCTTTCTTTGAATCCGCCGTTCTCTGCCTCGTCATCGGCCTCGAGTCCTTCTTCGGCGTTTGATCTTCGGCAAACCTCAGCAATCCCCTTTCGAAAATCTGGAACCCGAATGTGGAAGGATTACGAAAAGACATAGGTTAACAGATGGATTTACCGAATACTGGAGATCAGTCAGCATTTTAAGGTTACGGTTTGATATATTTTCGTGGATGGAGGCGTTCCTCTCGTAACTCCCTTGAGTTTGTATTTTCTGCTCAATTATCTTACTCGAGATGGCCGTAGGCTTTTTCCTCAACTTTTGTTTCATATTTAATTCGTCTTTTCACTACTTTTAACTATCTTTTAACACTTTTAAATAACGCAAAGCTAACAAACTCGAGCTAAAGTAATAAAAATAAATTCACACCGAAGAAACATATGGTGTTACCGATAATCTATAAATAATGAGAAATTGGGTAATTTATATGTCGTGGGAAGACTTAAAAAAAAAAAACTTTCAGGAAGAATAAGTTATTTTAAAAAAACTTTTATTCAGAAAAAAGATATTTTATTGTATGACTTTTGATTGTAATCGTTTTTACTCATTTTCGGTAAATCCATATAGGGTTCTTTAAAAAACCGTCGTTTTGAAGACTATTGTATAGCGTTCTATAACTAATTAATTGTGTAAAGATAATTGTATTAACTGTGTTGAACAATTTGCATGACGATATGTAAAAATTGAAGCAAGACATTTCGTTCTTCACTGGACGATGATCCCCTAAAAAGTAAAGATCAAGGAAGGCAAAATAACGAAGCCAGGGAATAAGTAGCAACCAAGGGGAAGAAAGCCCCACGTAGAGCTTTCTGGGAAGGCGCAAATAGCCGGTGATAAGAAAAGATTAGTCACTAGTCAGTGGTTGACATGAGTACGGAGTAGTCGTGGTAGTTGAGTTGGCACTGGTCATTTGGTGGCGAGTCAGTTAAGCCTCCTGTAGACAACGGCTCACTATAGTGGTCGGAAGGAGGACCTTCATCAGTTTTGATAAGTACTGGGTCATCAAGTCATCTACACACTGGTGGTAACACGGGGTAGGAATTTACTGCGCATCTTGTTTGTCTCTTTTGATGCGAGAGGAAAAACCGCACCCAGTCATCCTTCGCCATCCCTCGCTACTATCATCACACCTACCTACCCTCCACACAATGGCGGTTTGTAGTGGCCACTATTTACACGGGCCTTTACAGTTACAGTTAGTCACTGTTCGATTCCCAGAGATGAGCTAGAAGTTGGATTTTACTGCGACAGTTGTCGGTTCCAAAAATGAGACTAGTGGGTTAGACCTTTGTTAGAATTTATGGAATGAGCGAGTGACAAGTCCTAGGTCATCATGTCATCCACACACTGGCCCATGATGAGCCATTGTGTAGTAGTACGGGGTAGAAACTTACTGCGCATCTGATTTTTCTCTTTTGATGCGGGAGGAAAAACCGAACCCAAAGTCATCCTTCGCCATCCATCGACACTACCATCACACCAAACTACTCTCCACACAGTGGTGATGGTTTGTAGTGGCCACTGTGTAGACGGATGGTTACAGTTACAGACTGGTCAAGTCCCAGTGACGAGTTAGAAGTTGGATTTTGATTGCGACAGTTGTCTGTTGGAAAAGTGAGACTAGTGGGCTAGACCATTGTTAGATTTTTATGGAATGAGCGAGTGACAAGTCCTAGGTCATCATGTCAGCCACACACTGGTCCATGATGAGCCATTGAGTAGTAGCACGGGGGGGGGTAGAAATTTACTGCGCATTTGTTTTTTTACTTTTGTTGCGAGAGGAAAAACCGCACCCAAAGTCATCCTTCGCCATTCCTCGCCACTATCATCACACCAACCTCCCCTCCACACAATGGCGATGGTTTGTAGGGGCCATTGTATACAGGGTCTTTACAGTTACAGACTGGTTGATTTCCAGTGATGAGTTAGAAGTTGGATTTTGAATGCGACAGTTGTTGGCTGCCAAAATGAGACGAGTGTGCTTGACCATTGTTAGATTTTTGTGGAATGAGTGAGCTTTGGAGGAGTGTCTGGCTTCGGCTTGCTGTTAGATGTCCTTTGTGGATGTTAAACAGTTGATGAAGTTGTTTTGAATCGCGAAGACTTGGATTACTCTATTACCGATTCCAATGTTGGATTTAGAAAAAAGCCTATGCTGATAAAGGATCGACTTTCTGGGATATCCATCTCTGTCTCTCCTCTGCTATTGCTTTTTTCAATCTACAACATAATTTATTTGTATATTGCAATTTGATCAAGATAGGCTTCTCATCGTCGCTGAATGTGCCACTTTCAGTTAATACAACAAGAAAATAACTTGAAGGGTTAGGTCACAATTTCCTTCCTTTTCTCAGAGTTTTGATTTAATCGACGAGCTCGTTTTCATTACACCTTCAATTTGCTACAAGGTACATTCTTTAAGATCGTTATCTTAACGAGGAAAGCGCTTTGTCTGAGACAGAAGGTTTCATCATGGATAACTGTTGGTTTTGCCGGCTTCCCATTGTTTTACAAAGTATGATATCCTTGCAGATCTTTTTTCCCCAATGTTTAATTTTTTATCATTGTCAACACAATGCTTCGTTTTAATTGAACGCAGTAATTGCGAAAATGAACTATCCAATTAATTACCCCGATGTTTAAAATTAACATCTACAAACACACCGAAACGTATGGAAGGCGAATAGAAAAATTGATGATGATGGATCTGGTTTATTGTTTATTTTTACGTCCTTAGTTCAGGTCGACACAAGCCCTCTCCTGGGAAGTACTATTTCGTTGACTGCCGTTTGCTACAATTCTTTTCCATTTTACTTTGAACCTCAGGTTGTCTCCGATAAGCGGCTGTTCCTCATTGAATAATCTACATAGATCATAATTTAATATGCCCTCTCTGAGTTTGCCAGTCTTCGTGAGGTTCGTTTCATCATAAGTTTACTGGGTCTAGCACTCCTCGAGCTTTTCACTTCTCATTTTGCCTTTTTCTGGATCCATTCTATGATGGAGTATTCGTTGGTTTTTTTTACCCCAAGAATAGGTTCAGGTCTTAAATGGCCTTGCAGATCTTCCTCTGGCCAGTGCGACTCCTTTTTCGTTATCCAAAATTCCTATGCTGGTACCCAAGGTTTTTCCAGGTTGTGGAGATTTTGGATTCATTCACTGATTCATGTTTTCCTACATTGATCCGTTATGGGGATGTTTTGCCAGTGTAAACTCTTTTAAGATTTTCTAGGGCAGAAGCATTGATGTACGTCAAATTGAAAAGGCCAGGTGTTCCTCCTTAATGAGTTGGATAGCTTGTGTTTTAGGCTTGTACAAAAACGCCTGATCCAGGTCCTTCGTGTATGCCCTACAATGTTGTTGATGTTCTCATAAATTCTTCTTCTCCTTTGTAGTCTGTTGAGACTTTATGGAAGTTGTAAAAAGCGTTTCCGGGATCAGTCAATAAAAATGTTAGACTTATCCAATATAAATGTTGTTTGTGACAAACTGATTTTATTTACAAAACAAATCGGTGTATAATAAAAGTACTGACATGATTTAAAATCATATGTACTTTTATACTTTAATGTTATTTTAGAAGTAGTTTATTTCTTTTTTAGTCAATTTATTTTTGTATTGTAGATAATAAACTTCCAAAGAGTGTTATTGTAATGTATAGGAAAATCAAGACTGGATCGAAGCGACCATCATCGTGCATTTCGGACGTGCGCGTACCTTTAGACAAGCTACAATATCATTCTGGGTTTTATCACCAAAACATATCCACTACGGATCTGGAAAAACTCATTGAACTTCAATACTTCGTGGGTATCTAATGAGACCGTTGATATAATAAAAACACCTTACCGCTGCTCTAACCGCTTGAGCTATCGTGACTTCCACTCAGACACAAATTCCAATTCAAGAACTTTGGACGTACAAACATCCTTCTTCCTTCCATTAACATCTGGCGTTCCCCAAGGCTCCAGCATCTCTCCCATCCTTTTTAATATGTACATTAACGACCTCTATGATTCCATCCAGAACTTCAATTATCTTCTTTATGCAGACGACGCCCAAATTTATCTATCATTCCATCCCTCAGACCTACAATTGGACTAAAGATCTATAACGATCTTAATTCCATTAATGAATGTGCCCATAAAAATCTCTCAACCTCAATCCGTCTAAGTCCTCGGCCATAATCGTCGGATTTAGTTCTTCTCAAATCCATTCTGAATATCCTTTCTCTCACTTTAAATAACCATCCCATCCTCTTTTCTACCTTCGTCAAAAAACTTAGGGATAATCCTCCACCAATGCTTCTCTTGTCACCCTCACATTTGCCAAATTTCCCACCACTGTTTAGCCTCCCTCAATCTATTTCGTCGGTCATGGCTTCCCTTATCCTTCTCCACCCGTAAACTCCTAGTATCTTCTCTTATCTTTCCCTTCATGAACTGTTGTGTCAGATTCGTGTCCCCCCCCCTGGGTTCCGGCTGTCTCGTCTGTATTCGGATCTTTCCTGGCTTTCCCGATCCTTCAGATCTCAATATTTCTTACGATCCTTCGCTCTAGTTAATTTACAAATAATTGAGTGTTGAGACAAGTCTTTACGCCCTGGAGCAGGAATTTTTTGTTAAGCCTTGTTCCCTCGGAGTGTGACTTGGCGAACGTGGTCAGAAGTTCTTCATACCTCACACCGTGGAAAAGTAAAGACTCGTTATCGCTCGAGGTAGCTCGACCTTTCCCGCCTTTGGTAAATACTCCCAACGTCATCAGAGTTCAACGGATGACAGCCTCTAGCGCCTGTTCCCACGATCTGTTCTGGTTTATTGCAGTCGTACCGGTTTATGCTGAACTAAATTCATTTTTCATCATAGAATGAATCATCATCCAACTAAACTAGCGTTGATGTGTGACTTCATCAAAACAATTTACGCAGTGGGTGATTAGACAGGTCGAGATTCCCCAAGACACGAGCCTTTGAGAACGGTTTACGTTCGGCATTGGACAGTCCAAGACTGACCGCGACAGATCACAAGTTTATGAGGAAGGACACACGCCGTGGGATCAAGGCTAAGCTACGATCGTCAATTCGCCGCAGAATAGTTTATGTGCTTAGTTTATAAAATGTCTGGACAACCGTTGAATCCATCTTTAAACCCTTATACATTTTGGCTGTTTATTCTTTCATGAGAGGGTTGTAATACACATCAAATGAAAGAAGACTTTAGGCTAGAAAGACTGAAAGAACCCCTCTTGTGTTTAGCCTTGTCAAGGATTCTAACTTAAATCTTCTTAGTCTGCATTGATAAACGTTTGATTTCAGGTGTACGAAAGAGGCCGGAAGATTTCAAAACCGCGCCAACGTCCGCTGTTCGAATCGTCATCGGCCGACAGCTTAGATCTGGCCACGCCTAACTGTTGGATGCGACGATGCAGGTCGAAGGATTTCAAGCGATCGCGTTCTGCGCGTAAGATGTCCTTCAACGGGCCCACTTTCTCTCTTCCTTCCATCAGCGAAATCCGACGGGAACGCGACCAAGTCCCGGAAATGATATCCGTCATCCGCGATCTTTTCAACATTGCGTTTCAACTCCCCGGTTTGATAGGGGGCCTGCTCGGCGAGGACAACGACCTCCATACTCTCAACATGTATGTCTAACAGACTTCTTCCGACGCGTACCACTATTTGACGAAATCTTTTTCAGATCGGATATAAAGGCCGCCAGGAGGAGGAGGCCGAAGAAGACCTTTCGCTCTATGAAGTCGGCGAGTTTCACTCACAGTAACAAATTCGCAAAAAGTGGTTCCGTATAATGGGCAGAAGGGGATTCTCATAATCCACCGAAAACGGCCGGCGACACCTTTGTCCCGCACTAAGAGACTAGACGCCGAAGAGAAGCACCGATTGCGAATAACGCTTCAAAATCTAACTTCAAAATAGTAGCTAAGAACAAATAAATCAGTAGAAGTCAACTCATTTCTCAATGTAATGTTAAGCCCTGTACCCATGGCCTGTGGCTTGCCGAGCGTACTCGCAGACTTGTGATCTGTTGTGATCTGTCGTATTCCGACCGCAAGCCGTTCCAATGGCGCAGAAAGGCCCGTGCCTTGGCGCATCTCGAGCAACCACTAGTCATCCTACTGCTTAATTTTTTTAATGAGTCAGTTTGCATCAACGCCAGTACAATGTTCTATTAGAATTTATAGATTTTGAAAAATGAATTCAGTTCTGAATAAACCAGTACAATTGCAACAAACCACAACAGCGGGAACCGTACTGGGGTTGTCATCATCAAATCCCAAGCCTTTGATGTCGGAGTATTTACCGATAATACATGGGCAAGGCCGATCCACCTCGAGCAATAACAAATCTTTACGGTCCCATGGCGTGAGGTATAATAAAATTCAGAACAGGTTCGCCAAGCCACAAGCTGTGGGAACAAGGCTTAAGTGTTACAAAAGAAAACCTTCACAAAAGTAAACTGGGATGATGTGATTGTTCTGTTAATTTTCTAAAAGCCATATATCCAAAAGCGATTTTCAAAAGCACTTTTTGGATGAAGTATTTGTTGTAATAATAGCAATAAAAAATGAAACCAGATTATATGACGCACGTTGGCTTAGGTGCCTTTGCCACTTATTGACCGCACAAAGCATGTAATTATTCAAAAAAAAACAAACAAACAATGTAATTGCCGGACAACTTGAACTCAGCATCAAATAATCGCCAAAGGTGTAACTGTGGAGGACGTTGAGAGACAAATATTATCACGGAAAGATTTGAGAAAAAACATTTCATTAATAGTGTCAGGAAGATTGAGCCACCTAACAGCTAAGGACATCGTCGGCCTTCTGCTTGTTTATATTTATTTTCGTAGTCTTTCAGGCGTAATTTTCATTCTGCAGCAATTTGAGCGTCTCGATCTGTTACTAACGCTCTGCGTTTGTATGAAGGCTAAGTCGACATCCTAAAATACTAACTTATCATTCGTACCTCAGATTGTCAACTGTAGTATAAACCCTAGACATACAATACTTATACCTCATCACCCGATACAAACATAAAAGTCTGGTCTTCCCCAGAGTACTCGGATATTCGAAACGGGGTAAAAAAACCCTTTCTATCAAACTAATAAATTACATTCATTCCAATAAATCAACGTAAACACAACACCCCCCACGGCCCTCTGCGTGTTTTCTTCCTTTTTCTGGTCTCTCTCCAAAGAGTCTTTTTGTTTTAAGCTGCAGCCATTTGAGCTTCTCGATCTCGTCGTTACTAGAGAAAGAGAGAGGGAGAGAGAGAAAGAGAGTGAAAGAGAGCGAGAGGGGAGAAAGAGATGGTGGATAGATAATTAGACAGAAAGAGAGAGAAAGAGAGAGAGAAATATATAGAGATAGATAGAGAGGGAGAGAGTGAAAGGGAGAGAGAGAAAGAGAGCGAGAGAAAGAGAGATGAGAGAGAGAGAGGGAGAAAGAGAGAGAGAGAAGAGAAAGAGAGAGAAAAAGAGAGAGAGAGAGAGAAAAAGAAAGAGGAAAGGAGAGAGAGTGTGAGCGAGATTGAGAAAGAGAGATAGATAGGGGGAGAGAGAAAGAGAGAGAGAGAGAGAGAGAGAGAGAGAGAGAGAGAGAGAGAGAGAGGGAGAGGGAGGGAGAGAGAGAGATATGCAGTATAATATTATACAGTTAGAAACGAACACATATATTGTTACATATGCAATTAATTATTAGATATTTAATTCTATTTTATATTTGCAAACATTATTGGTTGCATATTGGTTGAGGCTTAATTCTGGCAAATAGTAGCTTAAAGCTAGGAGTACAGAAACAGCATCGATATGGGTTGTCGACGAGAAGGCCAAAAAGGATAAAATTAGAGGTGGAAAAAGGGCCACAAGGCACAAGAGCACTAGATAAGGAATTGTGGTTACTCCTGCATTCATTGGATTTAATTTTTATGAAATAGTCTTAAGCAATAAGTAGTGTTAATATGTACTTTATTCAAGGTTAATTTTTCATCGTTTAAATCGTGCGTTGTATTAAGTTAATAATTTTTATCATCTGTTTAAATTATTTAAAGGATAACAATTTGTGTAAAGGAAGTGGTATTTTTAATTCGGAGAAGTACGGTGGCGATCTTACCCCGGAGCCTCAAGAAGAACCAAGTCGTCAAAGAGTAAACTCTGAAAGACGAGGAAAATAAATCTGAATATAACACCGGTTAAGCACTTAAATATTACAATATAAATTATGGTATAAAAGTAATGAAAATTAATAATTATATAAGGTGGAACAGCTTTGAGGTTTTATATAGAAGGATTGCGAAAAAATGAATGAAATGATGCGGAATGGACCTACAGGAAAGAGACAGAGCGGTTCGTCGTTTTGCCAGATTTCCATTTTAATTACTCCTCTCATTAATTGAGGTAACACGGAAAAAGTCATATCGATTATAATCGAAAGATATTAATCTGTCGATTGCTTTTTCATACAAACTAACACAAATGAGCTCCAGATTGAAATAGGAAGTTTAATCTATTTCCACAGAGTTGAAATTTTTAAAAATTTATACCTAGCTAGGCGTTGTACGGCGTTCAACTGCAAGAATGGAGCTTGTTCTCGTTTTATTGCTAACACTTCCAGGATTGAACGCTGCAACGGTAAGCGAATCGCTTGAGCAATGGAAACTCTCTTGACTTTGTATTTGCATTTCAGGTGAGGGATATCGTGAGAATAGAGCACTTCGGAAACTGCAAAAACGTAGTCAGGGGAAAACACAACTACTACGACAACATCACCTTGATAAGCCTGGGAAGGGGCTCGTACGGCGTCAACACGGATTACGAAGTGATAATGAGCGCAAAGAAAATTTTGGTATGTGACAAAAATCAACGGAAGAAACGAGATCATCGCATCTAGAGAATGGTTAGGGATGGTTAGAATCTCAATCAGGGAATATGGGGAATATGGCTTGAGGATCATCCCGTAATTGTCACGATAAAGTCGTTTATTAAAAGAGATTTCAAAAATTGCATCGAAAACATAACAGGTCTAAAAATTTATATAACTATTTTAAAAAAGTATCTTTCAAACACTAATGAATGACGCTTAAAAATCGAATCGCTTGTAGTCTGGTCGTTTCATATCATCCCGGTCCGCATATTCTCGCTGTTTAGGTTTGTCAGACGTCTTGCCGTGCTTCAGCGCTAGGTGAGCAGGTTGAGACAAGACTGCCGCCAACCATTGGAATGATCAATTCTACGGTGTTATTTAAAGCAGTTAGAGAAAAGCTATCAGACCAGCGACTCTATGTGGAACCACGGCGACGACGGGTGGTATAGTGCGGTTGAGACTCGAGACCCCGAAACGGCTCACCTCGTGTTCTCTTCCGCGGCCCTGTTTCTCAATCCGAATTCCTTCATTCTATCCTGTGTTACAAGGGGGGTATCCAGGCACAAAATAATGGTGTAGCCTTGAGGGCGTGGCAACCTCTCTAAAGCACAAGCTGTCTTATGTCGGCCTCAGGGTCGGCAGGGACGTTGGGTGCCTTAGCAGAGTCACACGAGGGCCAGTGCACCAGATCCTGTCTGCATAGAGGGGGGAGGGTTGTATGGCCATCTGTACCACGGGGTGACAGAAATGTTCCAGGATCCGGCCCTCTGTCACATTGGGAACGGATTCGTGGTGGCTTGTGGTGACGCTCCTGGCGGGAACTTAGAGAGAGGCTGTCTTCTACCTGGGACCTTTCGTGAAGCTTGCGCATGGCCAATGTATTATACCTGGTCCTCACGGGAGACGTTGCGACCGGACGACAGCATGTAAGCGTTGAGGACGTCATGATCATGCTACAGTCCCTCGAATGCGTGAGTAAGCGATTGGAAAAGGGTAGTGGTATCGGCGGTTTCTGACGAGTATGCTTTGCATTGTTGTGCGTATGACCGGCGTAGTACCCTTGGGGAAGCGAAGGATCGGACCACCTAGGCTAGGCCTATGGCGTCCCTCGATTACGTGCAGCAGGTGTAGGCTGAGCTCGATAAGAGACCTTTGTCCGTAGGCAGTACTCATCTAGGGGGTGGGTAGCAATCCCACTTTTTAATCCGAAACCGCTGTCGGGGCGTTCCCGAAAGTTTCTACGCTGGAGAAGCCTCTACACTCAGAGAGATAGAGTCGTCTTCTCTATCTAGGGAGTACGCGAGGGGGGGGGACGGGCTGATGTATTTCGGCCCGTTAGCCCCTCGCGTGCGGCGTACGACCCGACGCATAATGCGGGCCCGACCATTCGGAGTGGACAAGCGGAGAGCGTGGCTACTGACCCTTAGGGGCCGGGACACCACTACACCATGCTGCGGCGGTAACACTTTTCCGTCGTATGCAGAAGTGCGTCAGCTCTCATCTTGAGAATCAAAGCGTCCGATAAGGCCATGAGCCAGGTGCGGACGTTAAAGATCCTCTTGTCTTGTTGACGATGAGTAAATCGGGAACGCATGTCAGACCAGCGATATTTAGAGTGTTTTCCAGTTAAGTTATAAGAAGGGTAAAGCAATTATTTAAAGAACCAAAAGATGGCCGAATACTGATGAGCGTCTGACCTCTCGGAACGACGAGGATTGGCGGACCAGGACATTCGGAAAAAAATACAGGCTTTTCTTAATGACACAGACGTACCCAATTACAGCTCCATGACCACGCAGCACTCAAAAAGACCATTATCTATCTTGTCCCCTTTTTATCAAAATCCATGGTCTGGTTGATAACACTAAGACGAGGATTGTCTTATAATTTACCACCCATTGGAAATAGAAACGCCAAATCTTGGTTTAAATTTACTCACATCAAACAATTTCCTTTTGTCTGTAGGCAGTTTTTCGTGTTATCCTTTACAGCCGATTGAAATTCGAGTTCGAAACTAAAAAGTTAGCCCAGCCTAATATTTTTGGCGTATGTTACATTTTATTGCTTTCAATCTTTTTATCATCATAAATAATTTTTTCTTGTTAGATTTTAAATGTATGTTGGTCATTATCTGCCAGTAAAGAATTATTCCTTGAAATAATAGTAAATATTAATCTTTAATTGAGGTTTTCGTTGAGATAAAAATTCAGTGCTACGAGCGGGATTCGAACCCACGACCTTCGGCTAGATACGCCGCTGCTCGACCACTTGAGCTAACGTGACTTCGATCCACTCGGAAACCAACTTCCCATCTCAACCCTACCTTTCAATTTTGCCTCCTGAAAAATGGCAAAAAGGAAGGAAAAACCTTAATTAGAGATTAATTAATTGAAAAGAATTTATTTGGTCAATCGGTCCACGAAACCTCATAGAAGTAAACATTAATTTTGAGGTGGGACAAAAAGATAGCACATCTTTAGAATGTTTTTATTAAAACTTAAATAATATTTCGAAAACAGTTAAAGCCAATGGCAAATTAATTTTAATACCTACTATAGGCTCCATCTTTCTTCTTCCTTTCGATTTCCTCTTTTTTTCAATTTGGAACTTTTTGAGAACGTGTCTTTCATTGGATTTTTCTTTGATCGTGCTATTCATCTTTTCTGTGTTTTGCAACTCGCCTCAGCCTTTATGAGCATCCCTTACAACGTGACCCCAGGCATTTTCAATTACAGTAAAATCTGAAAACCTGGCTGGCCATTCCAAAACTTGAGTTTTACTTTTTGGAAAAAGTCCTTTATCATTTTCGGTGTATGGTCAGGAGCCAAATATTTATTATTATATATAAATTTTGAACCAAGTATTTCATACTAACATAAGTGTGGTGTCAGTACACGACACCACAAGATCACCACACTTCATGTAAAATAGTTGGTTCAAAATTTATATTATTTACATCTGTATTGCACACTGACAGGCAAATAATTCCACCTAATTGACATTTCTTTCATTTTCTTAATAAAAGAAAACTCCGAATTTAATTTGGCTCATTGTTTTTATCAATAAATAGTTGTTTATGCTATGTTTTAAATTGGGAATATCAATTAGAGGTAAACACACTTAATCCTTAATCCAAAACAAAAGATTTTTCAATGTTTAATTTTTAATTTAAAGTCTCATTTGAATTCTAAAGCAATAAACTGTTTAGTTGTTATCTTTGTTTTCTTAATTTCAATTTTTAAACTTAAAAATGCCACTTAGTGCTCAGGATATTGCGCATGGTGTGGCACTTATGGATGATGGACGTTCCTTCAGGTATGCGGGCTATTGCCATCGCAGTTCCCTACGAAACTCTGCTGGACATTTTCTAGCAACTGGGTCCTACCATAGAAGGCCCAGTTCTGTACGCCCTAGGGCAACAGAACCACAGGATGACCGTTTTTTGACTTTGAGAATTTTGTGAAACCGGCACCTTACTGTTGTTCAAGCGAATCATCTGCTCCAGGAAGTTCGAGGTGTCCAAATTTCTGAACGCACTGCACGAAGAAGATTAAATCACTATGGGCTGATGGCTTTTCGCCCAGTAAGAGGACCAGAATTGATCAGAACACTGAGTTGCACGGCTCCCATCTACTCGAGAACACAGCCATTGGTCTTTGGACAATTGCTCAGATGTAATGTTTACGGATGAGTGCTGATTTGCTCTACGATCTCCAGATAGACGTGAAAGATCGCGGAGACGACAAAATTAAAGGTACGAAGCTTCTAATTTTTACCAGAGCTAACCTTTTCAACCAAGCTCAGTGATGGTGTGGGCGGGAATTTCAATGGAGAGTCGCACAGAGTTGGTTGTTGTTCGTGGAGAGTCTTTGACGGCTACTCGCTATGTGGATGAAATTTTGGAACATTGATGCTTTGCCTATTCACGATGAAATCTGCGACAAGCATGGTACAAACGTACCTTCATCAGCATAACACCCAAGTCTTAGCCTGGCCTACCTGTTCTCCAGACTTGAACCCCATCGAACATTTATGAGATAACCTCAAAAGACGAATAAGAGCACGTCCATCCCTTCCTGACTCCACGATCTTGAAAGGACTTCGTGAAGAATGAGCTAAACTCCAGCAAAGAGACATTTCCAAACTGGTAGAAAGTATGCCGATGCGTCTTCGAGATGTAATTAACGCAAGAAAATGAAATACGCGATATTGAAATGTTAATTAAAAATCTAAAACAAATTTTATCTGTCAGTCTTTTTTCTATAGGAATTTTTTAGTTTTTTACATTTTCAGACAAAGATTCAATTATTAATCGTTAAAAAACGTGAAACTTTGATTAATATATAAAAATATATACAAATCAAATTATATTACAAGTGGGTGGAATTTTTTTGCCTGTCAGTATATATGCATTTTTAAAACTTTTTTAGATAAAGAATCAATTATTAATCGTTAAAAAACGTGAAACTTTGATTAATATATAAAAATATAAACAAATCAAATTATATTACAAGTGGGTGGAATTTTTTGCCTGTCAGTGAATAATTATTTTTTCCAATCGATATACGTTTTGTAATTCACCCAGTTCTTCAAGATGATCCGAATAAAGGTCGAAACGTCGAAAAAATGAAAAATTAATTTTTCTAAAATATTTCCATCTTGATCGCTCCTCACTACATCCACAAATTATTGAACAATTTAAAAGGAATCGATGCAGTTGGGAAGAAGGTCGTGTTGGCATGGGTTCCCAGCCACATAGGGATAGCCGGGAACGAAGAAGCAGACAGGGCGGCCAAAGGAGCCGCTGGAATGCCCCACGACGCTTCCCAACCTATACGCCCAGCGGACCTAAAACTACTAATTTCAAACTCAGTAAAAAAAGAATAAGAAACCCGCTGGGCTCGAAGAAATAGAATTAACCTTGCCAAACTGTGGCAGGTTAAGAAAGAAGTCGGTCCCTGGTCNGATAGTCGGTAACCAGATCGAGACGCTCAAATGGCTGCAGTTTAAAACAAATTATGCGCGAAAGAAACGAAAAAGATGGAAAACTCGCAGAGGGCCGGCGATGACCTCAGCTGTTTGTAGGCCCATAAACTTCCCACTTATAATAATAATAATATTAAACAACTGGTCGCTAAATATCACACTTTATCCTTAAATTGGGCCCTTCTCTTTTAAATATTTAATTTTTATTATTATTGATTACACGTTTTCACAATTCATTTTGTCGTAACTTTAACAAATTTGTAAATTTAAAATAACAGAAAAAATATTAATGTAGGTAGTCAAATCTTGCAAATAGATAATATTTAAAAAACTAACATTTGGGCAAGAACACATACAAGTTACAAGTTGTAACACATAGAAGTTGTCAATACATAATTCTTTCATATTGGATGAAAGTTTACAGTAAAATAACACATTGTCAATAGATTTAAGTGTTTTATGCTGCACCTTTAAAAAAAAAAGTTATCCCCAAACATAAACTAAGAAAATGGAACTGAAAAGTGCTTTGAAACGTAGTTGGGTGAGGAACCACTAGATCTCTCTTGGGGCCGGACTTCTTCGTCTACATTTTAAGCAATACATAATACAACACATAATCATTTTGGTATTTAGTACAGATTGCAAAAGTAGTCCTCTACGGCTTTCATGTCCGCTTGTCGACTTGTCAAACGACCTGGCATGTTTTTGTACTAAAACTAATAAAAATTATCAGCGTCTAAATCGCGTCCGAGAACACGCGAGAATTATCTGTTTTAATATTTATAAAATATGCAAAAAATGTATTTGATATTTAATATTTTTTATGCTTTAATAATTATATAATAAAAACTTAATAAGGATTTTTACAGCAGGATTCCGGTTCTACAAGCTCCGAATAATTTGCTAATGGTCGTATTTAATAGAAAATTACCTTTTCGGATAAAATTCTTACACAACAAAATATGCCAGGCTTTATATGTGGTAATGATGATGATGATGATTCCTGTTTGATATTATATTTTTATTCGGTCAAGGTTTCGTTTTTTGAATTTTTTGAAGTTTCCCTTTCCACTTTATAAAGTACTATGGGTGATTCAACAATAAAACTTCGTTGTGAACAAACACTCGTTAAATAATAAATTACGACAAATTTATGAGATAATATGAAAAATGGGGGGCGTCGGTGGCCGCAAAGGTTTAAGCATTGACACGGCGACGCATTTAGCCGAAGGTCGTGGGTTCGAATCCCGGTAGTGACACTGACTTTTTTTTTTATCTCAACCAATACCTTGCTTAAAGTTTAAAAACATATAGAACGAGCTTTAAAATATAAAAGGAAAAACAATTGTACTGCCAAAATAATTTTTTAAACTAGTTATAATAGTCATAATTTAAATTTAAACCTAATTTATTAAACTAATTAATGTTTATGTAAAGTATTGGTTGAAATGAAAAAGCCAGTGCCACGTGCGAGATTCGAACCCACAACCTTCGTTTAACACAACGCTCAAAAAGACAGATTATACAGATACATTGATGATATACTCGCAAATCTAGACATGAGAAAAACACCCTAAACCTCATACATAAACATAATACGAACTGCAGAACTAGAAATCAATCACACGATGAACTTTCTTGAACATCAAAAAAAAGTGACAACAATCATTTTGACAACAATTTCTACATAGACAGAAAACAACCATCTAACGTCAATAATAAATTAAAAATAATGCCACCATCGAACTGAACTAGAAACAATAACAATATACCACACAACAACGACGGCATCAACACTGCACAATCAACCAACATTACAAACAAATGCAACAAAACTGGCATTCATAAAAATTGCAAAACTTACAAAATAAAATGCTTCAACGTAATGCTAAAGGAGGGTGAAAAAGGGAAAACAATAAGGAAAATGAATAGGTAAAAGTAGGGTCTCGGTGGCCGGAAGGTTTAGGCGTTGATTGTTGACAGGGCGCTCATCACTGTAAGGTAAAGGTCCAGGGTTCGAATCCAGCGGCCCTGCATTCGAACCCGACATACTTACAAACGGGCTTTTTTTTACAAAACAAAGTTAAATTAATGAGCAGCTGAAATCCTTTTCCTCTTCCGTTTTCAGGCGACGTACGAGGTTTTTAAATGCCCGAGCAACTCGGCCACAAACTGCGAGCAATTCGGCAACTTCAAGCATAACGACTTCTGTCCAAAACTGGAAGAAAAGGGCCAATTTTGGTCGCCGATTTTCGAAAACACACGTCCACCTTTGAAGTGCCCGTTTAAAAAGGTTAACCGACCACAGCTTTTTCTAACCTAATTGTTTGTCTTTTAATTAGAAGAAAATGTTTTTATATCCGTGTCAAACATAATATTAAAGGGTTAAATGTCAGCAAAAATTTTGTTTCAGATTACGTATCAACTGAGGAATGCGACCTTCGATGTTCACACCCTACTGACTTTTGTCAAGTTCATCCCTGATTTTTCCAATTTCTATTGGCTGACCAAAACATATTATTGGACCACTCCTGGTAAACAGATGATGGAGTGCAAGTCGGTTGTTTTCAAAACGACCAAGATTCGCGTTTGATTTTGTATTCACTGTTTTTTTTTTTAATTGTGCACTAGATTTTATTGGGAACACAATCAGCTTTTCTAACTTTACGAGCTTGACGGATATTAAAAATTACGTTTATTAAAAAAAAGTTTCAATATTTTTTTAAACATGAAATCGTAACCACCTACATGTTTGTTTAATTGACATTCTTGATAAAATATGTGAACAAAATTATTACAAACCTTATTTGATGTCTTCTATGGTAAACAGTCAAATTTTCCGATGTAAAGTTTTTTCGAAATAGAATTGAACGTATTAAAATAGGTGAAATCTTGTCAATTCAAACTGAAATCACCAGGCAGACAGCATCAGCGTCATCGGTGACAGCACGAGAACAATCATTCCTGATTTTTTTTAAATTGTGCTCTAGATTTTAATGGGAACTTAATCACCTTTTCTAACTTTACGAGCTTGACGGATATTAAAAATTTCGTTTATTAAAAAAAAATATTTTTTTAAACATGAAATCCTAACCACCTACATGTTTTTTTAATTGACATTCTTGATAAAATATGTCAACAAAATTATTACAAACCTTATTTGATGTCTTCTAAGGTAAACAGTCAAATTTTCCGATGTGAAAAGTTTTTTCGAAATAAAATTGAACGTATTAAAATAGGTGAAATTTTGTCACTTCTGCTAAGAAGAAATCACCAGGCAGACAGCATCATGCGTCATCGGTGACAGCACGAGAACAATAATTCCACCTGTTCAATTCTCGATGTAAAAAAGCCAAAAGAAGAAAAAAAACGCTTTGTAATATTTTTGTGAGATGTCGTGCCTGGTAATAGCAGCATTGGCTGTTTCTTATCAGCCTGGCTTAACTAATCTAGGTGGTGCTAGGTGGGTAGCTTTATCGCCTCACCCTACTTATCTCCTAAACATTCGCTATAAATGGCGAATAGTCGAAACGCGTTTGACTTATCAAAATAGCTGGGATATCAGAGAAAATCGGAAACGAATCTCTGTTACAAAAATGATGTGTTTACTTGAAGATAATACTTTTATAATGAAGTTCGAATTATTTTAAAAAAATATCCTCCAAACATTTAACACCCGAACCACGATTTTTGGAGCCGTGCTGCAGAGATATCCTTTGAGATTTCCAAAAGCTGATATCGGTCATTATCGCGATTAACCCTGAGTCACTGGCCTATACCGTTAGCGATTTGAAGATTTGTATTTAGCCAACGCATGTTTACTAATGTCAGAAGAGATAAAAAGTTTAATTTTCCTTTTTTCATTTACATTATCCGCTTGTTTTTGATTATTCTCAGTAAAGATTTTTTTAGATTTTATCAGTGCGTTTCTCTGAAGATTTTTCATGTAACTTGTAGAGATTCCTTTATCCTAGGGTAAGTATAATTAATTTTATTCCCATGAGTAGATAGACCGATAGTTTATACAGACAATCTTTGCTAAATAATTCTAGAATAGTCTATAGTAATCGCTTTGAACCAAAAAATTATGGTCTCTTTATTATTATTATTATTTAAATATTTCTTTTTTTTAACTTCAACAATAAGGAAAGCATCCATAAGCTAAAATTTAATTATACATTTCAATTCAAACAGGCAAAAAGACAATTTTCGCACAAACATGAAATTCATAGAGACTGGGCAAATAATGGTGCAAATCTTTAATTTCTTTCTTTACGCATAAGGAAACGATAAAAAATATACTGCCAAAATAATTTATTTAAACTAGTTACAATAGTCATAATCTAAATTGAAACCTAATTTATTATATTAATTAATTTTTATGGAAGGTATTGATTGAAATGAAAAAGCCAGTGCCACGAGCGGGATTCGAACCCACGACCTTCGTCTTAATACTCTTCTGCTCTACTAGTTGAGCTATCGTGACTTCGATCCACTCGGACACTAACTTCCCACCTGAACCCAACCTTTCGAATTTTCCCTCCTTTTTGCCATTTTTCAAATGTCGTGTATTTTATTTGATTCTCGGCTACAAATGAAATGGCCACGGAGAGCTTTAGTGACATCATTTTGTTTATTAAATCGATTAGGTTTCGTGGTCCGATTAACCAAATAAATTCTTTTCAATTAATTAATCTTTCGGTAAGGTATTGATTGAGATAAAAAAGTCAGTGTCACGAGCGGGATTCGAACCCACGACCTTCGGCTAAATTCAGTGTCCGCGTGGATCGAAGTGAAGATAGCTCAAGTGGTAGAGCAGCGGCGTATCTAGCCGAGGGTCGTGGGTTCGAATCCCGCTCGTGACACTGACTTTTTTTTTAACTCAACTAATACCCTGCTTAAAGTTTAAAAACATATAGAACGAGCTTTAAAATATAAAAGGAAAAAAAATTGTACTGCCAAAATAATTTTTTAAACTAGTTATAATAGTCATAATTTAAATTTAAACCTAATTTATTAAACTAATTAATCTTTATGTAAGGTATTGGTTGAAATGAAAAAGCAAGTGCCACGAGCGAGATTCGAACGCACAACCTTCGGTTAACACAACGCTCAAAAAGACAGATTATACAAGATACATTGATGTTATACTCGCAAATCTATACATGAGAAAAACACACCCTAAACCTCATACATGAACTCTAACACATAAACATAATACGAACTGCAGAAGTAGAAATAAACCACACGATGAACTTTCTTGAACATCAAAAAAAGTGACAACAATCATTTTGACAACAATTTAAACTTATACAGAAAACCACCATCTAACGTCCATAATAGATTCACTAATTTCGTGGTCCGCTTGGCCAATTAATATATTACAATTAATTAAGGTTTTTAATTGAGATAAAAAAAGCCGGTGTCACGAGCGGGATTCGAACTCACGATCTTCGGCTTGAAACGCCGCTGCTCTACCACTTGAGCTATCGTGACCTCGATCCACTCGGACACCAACTCTCCAGCTCAACCTACAACCGTTCGAATTTTTCCCCTCCTTTTTGCCATTTTTCAAATGTCGTGTAATCGGATTGGATTCTCGACGACAAATGAAATGGCCACGGAGAGCTTTAGCTTCATTTTCAATCATTAAATTCATTAATTTCGTGGTCCGTTGAAAAATGGCAAAAAGGAGGGAAAACTCAAAACGGTGGGGTTGAGATAGGATGTTGGTATCCGAGTGAATCGAGGTACAGCTCAAATGGTAGAGCAGCGGCGTATCAAGCCGAAGATCATGAGTTCGAATCCCGCTCGTGACACTGGCTTTTTTATCTCAACTAAAAAAAACCTTAATTAATTGTCAATAATAGATTAACAATAGTGCCACTACCGAACTGAACTAGAAACAATAACAAAATACCACACAACAACGACGGCATCAACACTGCACAATCAACCAACAATGCTAACAAATGCAAAAAAACTGGCATTCATAAAAATTACAAAATTTACATTGAATTCGTTGAAATTTTACAAAATAAAATGCTTCAACGTATTGCTAAAGGAGGGTGAAAAAGGGAAAACAACAAGGAAAATGAATAGGTAAAAGGAGGGCCTCGGTGGCCGAAAGGTTTAGGCGTCGTTTGTTGACAGGGCGCTCATCACTGTAAGGTAAAGGTCCCGGGTTCGAATCCAGCGGCCCTCCATTCAAACCCTACACCCCGAGGGTTCATAAACCTTCTAATAATTTTTTTTACATTTTGTATTTTGTGAGAGTGTATACGGCAGGTACATTCAAATTTACTCAATTTAACTTCCAGTGAATATGATTGAAACCCCATTGCCTACTACTGACCTAGTGCGTTATCTTGAACTTTTCATGGATAAATGATTACTTAGAATTCTCACACAACACCGCAAAGACAAACACGATCAAAATTAGACATTGAAAACAAACTTTTAATTCGCGATAAATGCTGAAACAATGCTAACACATCTCTGGGCGTAAGATTGTGAAGTGTGGGCTTAACCAAGGATTCTAATTCCCAAAGTCTCCGAACAATTCAATCTAAAATTCTCCTAAATATCCCGTTTGTGCGTGACCTCATCAAAACGTATTTTATCACTTCCAGATCTACCAGAAAATCCTGTAAGACGATTGAAGAGAAAGTCGCCCCGAGATCTCATTGAATGAACTAGGGTTTAGTGTGAAGGAGTGTTGCCACTAGACAATACAATATTTATAGTTGTAAATATGAAATAATTGTAATAAAAAAAAACGCGCGGCAATAATTAATAATAATTTCCGTTTCGTTGAGATTGTACCGAAATTGTACTAGTTCGGAAAGAAAAAAGTAGGTATGTTTTAAATTTAATTTTATTCGTTCTAAACTCGGTAATTTTCTGGCTTAAAGCCATTACTTGATAAAGTGACATCCTTACCACTTTTCATATGTTATAAGGTGCACAACAAAAAAATGCTTAACCAGCGACTACGAGTGAATATCAAATAACCATACATAATGTAAAATTTATATATTTTACATTATGTATGGAAGTATTGGCCAACAAAAGTTAATTTTTTTGAGTATTCGGAATGTTGTTAATGATGGAGTTATATAATTGCCAAGCTTTCGATCTTTTTATTGTGCCTTCATCAGGGCTCTAAAGAACAGTAACAAAATAAAATACAAAAGTTGATTATTTTTGGACCCACAATGAAATGTCTAAATCTAAATACTGATCATGAGGGATGTCTTCTGTGGTTAAAATATTTTGATAAAAATGTTTATTCATTGTACAACTTAGTTCAGATAATAGACTAGAGTTCTGAGTTCGTCATAATATGAATTGGGAAACATGAAACATTGAAACATCAAACTTAATGTGAGTAGGAACCATCTTTTTAAAAAAAGGGTATGAATTGGGATGTTATATTTGTTACATATACAGGATGTTAGGGCTACTCGTGTTACAAACTTTGCCAGTAGATTCTACATTCAAAATGGAACGAAAAAGTCCTAATTAACTATGGTCAGAACCCCAACAGTTTCGGAGTTATTTTACTTTTTCGGATTTTTTAAGATTTCACGACCTTGCTTCAAATAAACAATGATAATTCGAAAGCTAAAAGGTTTTGGACAAATATCAATACTGAACATGTAAACTTCGTGAAATAAGCGTTTTAATAACCAGAACTTTGAAATTTTTTTTTTCGAAGTGGAAAAACTTACTGTAGTGATTCTAAACTA